ATTGACTCTAAACATGACTTATAGAAACGTATTACAATGCCTTAACAAACAGCTCACTATGCCACAATCAAAAGAAATTCTATAAGGGATGAGAAAAAAAAATTGAGTTGAGATGCATTAATCCAGAGAAGGCTACAAAGCCATTTCTAAGGCTGTGGGACTCAGCCAACCATGAGAGCCTTATTCTCAAAAAATAGAGAAGTAGAAATAGTGATGACTGTTGCTATGAGACCCAGTTTACAAGTATTCCTCCAAGGTACTCAACATTGACAACATCTATTGAACTGCTGGCCTCTCCAGCCTCAGCTATAGTCATTGTTAACAATTTAATAGGAAAGATACTTGGTAAACATGGAATTTCATTGGAAGAATTGCTAGGTATGAAGAAATCCATGGTAGTTTATGGAAACAATGCACATAAAAGTGCTGTTCCACTGTAAGTAGTCAAATCACTTTCGCTGTCCTTCCGGTCTAGTGGTGTGGACTAGCCTCCCGATAGTTCCCTACTAGAGTTCATCTATTTCTGAGGTGAAGCAGCAGGACAGACACTGGCAGAGCGAGGGCTGGAAGGTAGTAAGACATTATAGGTTAGAAATACATATTTGTATTTCTAATACTATAGTGTTCTTTGAATAAACTTTCATATGTTTTTTAGGGCTTCAATGAAATGCCATATAGCTAGTCTGATTTGCCTTATAGGATGTATAGTTATGTAGCTGCTAACTTCTTTGTACCAGGCCAAAGGCTGGAGTTAAGTTTTGAGTTTTAGTGGCAGTCGGTAAACATTAGAGATGGGGAATGGGGGAAACCATTCAGAAAGCAGTCAGCAGCCATTCTCTGAGTAGCAATTATTGGTTTCTGTAGAGAATAAGGAAGTGGCAGCCGGTAACTCCTTGTCACTACTTTTAAAACTTTGCAGTTGGTGAACAGCCGCTATTTGCTAGCAGTAGCAACAGGTACTTTAGTGAGTAACAGCTGCTGACTGGTAAACAGTAGCGACAAGATTGGATATGAGCCCTGTTTAGAGCAGCTGTATGCTCTGGTTTATTTCACTTGCTTTTCATTTGGTAAAAGGTTGAAATGGAGCCAGACAAGTCTTATAGAGAATAGACTGATCAGAGTATTCTTAACTAGACAGGACATGTAAAGAATCCGACTGAAACCAGATCGAAGCAATCTTGGAACTACATAGATACAGTTAGTAATGCCATTGACCTTATCTCCCCAATGAAGGAAAACCACTCCTGCACTGTTGGAGGAGAGATGTCTCTCCCAACTATCTATCAGGTGTCGTAAAAGCAAGCATTTAAAGGAGCACACAGAGTGGGGTGTGTGTAATAGGAAGATAAGAGCAGAGGTAAATTAAAATGTGTAAGAATATTTTCCCCCTACAATCTGCCCTATCATTCTCCAGTATACCCAGGTGTTCGACATTCCAAATAAGTATGTCAGTAAGTACCCAGTCACTCCTGACAACTCCAACAATGGTCGGGGACTGCAGGGGAGATCCTTTGCAAGTCTTAGTAAAGACAATAGGTTACCCTCGGGAAGGAGCAGGTAGGCTCTAATCAAATTCTGGAGTAGTCAGTCCAGGTAATGGAACTATATAGTTAGCGAGGCCCGAAGGAAAAGATGGAATCAGGGAAGTTAAACAGAGGACAAACCTTTTGATCACCACTGTAGTTTGTCCGTACTGTACTCACACTATAAATATGATTTGATTAACACTTGGTAAAAAGTGAGGTGGTAGCGCACAAATGGCAAGGGTATTTCACGGTAGTAGCAAATCTAAAAAAGCAACATAACGTAGACTATATAAAAAGTGGTATCCATACAGGTAATACAAAGGACACTTACATATTCAAGAACCCTTCAGGTCGACTCTAAACTCAGTAGATATGGAATCCCCACTCAGACTGACTGAAGTAGTGTAGAAGGTCCCAACGTTGTAGATCTCCAAAATTGCAGTTCAGGAACCAATATATAGGTATTTAGGTAAATACAATAATATATATACACACACACACACACACACAGGGATAAAGCTAGGGGCACAACACATTTCGACCGCTAGAAGTCTTCCTCAGGTGCATATCTCTACTGAGTTCACAACATTCTGCTATATACCAAACATAATAATGTAAGTCCAACCAGGTGGTGGAGTTCGGATGCCCAAATAAGGGGTTTCCGGGCAGTGGTGTATCTTGGTTTTGTTCTGCCCTAGGCAGGACACAACTCAGACACCCCCCCGCGTGCCACACCCACCCATCCCTTCCCCCCTGCCCCGCCTTCTAAATACACTCACACACATTCACTGACAGATAAGCATACACTAACTAACAGAAACACACTCTAACAGACACACACACACACTAACAGACACACACACAGTCAGACACACACTAATAGACACACACACACACACACACACACACTAACAGACACACTCACTAACAGACATACTCACTAACAGATATAGTCACTAACAGATACACTCACTAACAGACACACACACTAACAGACACACATAGTCAGACACACACTAACAGACACACAGACACTAACAGACACACACACTAACAGACACATACAGTCACACACACACACTAACATTAACACACTCACTTTATTTTTTAATTTAACCCCCCCCCCCCAGCCTCTTTACCTTTGTGAATGCTGCGGGTGTTCTTCTTTTCCCTGGGGGTCCAGTGGCTGCTTGGCGGTCGGGTGGGCGGTGCTGGCGAGGGAGCACTTTCCTCTGAGCTCTCTGCTCAGGTCCCTCGCGCGCCGCCCGCAGAGTGAGGCCGGGAGCCGGAATATGACGTCAGCGCCGCCCGCCCGCCTGGACTGTTAGCCGCAAGGCTAACAAGGCATTTGCCCTGGGCATTTAGGGGCGGCTTTTTTGGCCGCCCCCTGGAAAATGCCGCCCAAGGCAAATGCCTTGGCTAAAACGTCCCTGTTTCCTTGTAGTGACATCATAAAAGCTGATACACAACCAATCCCACCTCCCCGACTAGAAAAGAACCCACCTACAATATAAAAACCTTGCCCAGCTTCCTCTGTTCCAATATTCTCTTGCTCCGGATTTTTCAAAAACCCTACTGAAGACATAAAATGGAAATACCTTGACTTTTTAATAAGGGGGAAATTTTGTTTTTAGTCCTTGAACATCCTATCATACCAGTTATATATACTTTACCTAAACTACACAAAGATCCGGTCAACCCTCCAGGGAGACCAATCGTTTCTGGTATTAATTCTGTCCTTTCCCCCTTATCTCAATACATAGATTAATTTCTACAGCCCTTGGTCAAAACCTGCCCGTCGCACCTCCAGGATTGTATGAGTCTCCTTTATTTATTGAATGATTTTAATTAGGAAGATCATTTTTTCCTGGTCACCTGCAACGTGACAAGTTTAAACATGTCACGGCTTACCTTAGTTGGGAGTCCGGTAGGCAGAGATATGCTCACTCTTGAAAATAGACACAGACCAAGGTGGTCAGGTAAGAATTCACCTGGCCTGTGAATCTGTGCTCAGGGACTGTGCAGGGATATACTCCAAGTTGCACTACAGTCAAGGACAAGTTGTCTTGAAAAGCCGTAGTCAGGGGAAGTCAGAGGTCAGAGTAATCGAAAAGAAGAACCGAGGTCAGGAGTCAGGAACAAACTAGAGAACAAACGAACTGGATACTCAGAAACAGGAAACAGGAACCAAACAGCAATTAACTGACAAAGTTCCCAGGGCGAGGCAGTGCTTAAATACCCAGCTAATACTGATCTGATTCAGGTGGGCTTAGATAAGCAGGTGAGCCACTAGTGAAGTTCAGCCCCCTAGTGCTGCAGATAAGACAAGATCGGACTTGAGGCTGATGCATGAGCTGCAAAAATGGCATAGAGGCACGAACGCAGGCTTAAGTTCAGACCCCCTGTTGGGCACTTCTGGGGCGACCACGTCTGGCTGTCTGGATGTCATGGCGAGAACCGTTACAATACACTAGTATCGAACATACCAAGGGCTGTGAAGCTGTGCAATTTTTTCTTAGTCAGTCAGGGAAACGTGTTGTGCCCCTAGCTTTATGTTGTGTACATATGTTGTGTTTTTTTATATATATGTAATAAAGTATTATATTTACCTTATATTAGTTCCTGAACTCCAATTTTGGAGATCTACAACGTTGGAACCTTCTACACAATTCCAATCTGAGTGGGGATACCACATCCAGGGGTGGCCTTAGGCTTCTAGGCGCCCTGTGCAAAAAATCTGAGCAGCGCTCCTACCCCAAACTCCTTGTCACATAGCTCCAAAACAATAAAACTCTCAGTAATGTGCCTATTAGTGTATCATAGAGCTCTCCAACTATTAAAAGTAATGTGCATTTTATGTGCCAGAGCGCTACTGTAATAAATATCACTATAATATAATGTAGTGTGTGTGTTGTCTGTGTGTGTGTTAGGCGTGATGGTTGTGTGTGATATGTATGCTATGTGTTGGCTGTGTGTGATATTTGTAATGGGTTTATTGGCTGTGTGTGATGTGTACTTAACTCAGATAACAAAAATATGCATGTTCTATGTGTGAATGCAAGTGTATATTGTTGTAGACACATGCACACAGTCCCACAGTTATAAATATACACTGTCAATTACAGCCACATGCCCACTGTTCCAGGCACATAGTCACACACGCAGTTACAGGTATATAGTCAAACACACAGTTACAGTCAGTCACACAAATGCAGCCACTCACACACACCGTTGCAGGCGGACAATGACAAAAGACACACAGGTACAGGCAGACAGTCACATACATACAGCCACACAGACAGTCACATACATACACTTACAGGTAGACAAACATTTACAGTCATACATACATACAGACAGTCATGCACACATGCAGCCACTCACACACCATTACAGGCAGTCTATCACTCACACATAGTTTTACTGTGTGGGTGCACGCACAACTGTCTTTGTGGCTGTCCGCATGCACCTGTGTGTGTTTGTCATTGTCTGCCTGCAACTGTGTGTGTGTGTGTGTGTGTGACTGTCTAACTGTGTGTATGACTGTCTCACACACACACACACACACAGTTGCAGGCAGACAATGACAGAAACACTCAGATACAGGTGGATAGTCACATGCATACGTACAGACAGTCACACAAAGGCAACCACACACATACAGGCAAACAGTCACAGGCACACACAGGGCTGCCATCAGAAATTGTGGGGCCCCTGACACAGCTCAAGGTCTGGGCCCCCCGGTGCCTGCACCCAAGTCAGCCCAAAGTGACCCCCCCCCGAATCCGCCCACAGGGATGCAGTGTCTGCAGGGCCGGTGCAAGGATTTTTGCCGCCCTAGGCAAAAGTAAAGTTTGCTGCCCCCCCATGTGACATCACAATGCCCCACCCATATGATCTGCCATGTTAACTAACACCAGTGCTGCAGTGCCGCCGTGTTTACATTAAAAGGCCTCCAGGGACAGGATATAGACACCAGAACCACTACATTAAGCTGCAGTGGTTCTGGGGACTATAGTGTTTCTTTAATGTGAGGTAAATTAGAGATTTGTGCCACGAATAATATACTAGATTGCCTACTTACAACCAGATGAGGATGATGATGGGCTCTAGCTGCAGTCTGGCTCCACTGGTTTGGTGTAGAACAGGCTCTCTGGAGGCGGTTTGTAACTGTGGTCACAAAAATCAATGTTCTGGGAGAACGGGAAGCAGCTCCATTTTTTTGAGGGCCCTTTACACAGCTCAAGGTCTGGGTCCCAGGGTCCACCTTCATGTTCCACCAATGAGTTTGTTCACAGGGGGTGGAGTGTGTGGGGGATGTCCTGATGTGTAAGGAATGCATTGTGTGAATCTGTGTTTGTATGTGTAAGGGCTGCAAGGTGTGTTCTGTGTATGTATGGGATGCAGTGTGTGCGTCTGTAAGGGATGCATTGAGTGTGTGTAAGGGGTGCATTGTGTGTTGCTGTGTGTAAGGGATGCATTGCTTGTGTATGTGTGTCTGTGTGTAATGCGTGTGTTTGTCTGTGTGCAAGGGGTGCATTGTGTTTGTGTATGGATGTCAATCTCTCCCCCTCCCCCTGTCAATTTCCTTCTTCCCCCCTCCCTCCCTCTCTCCAATTTCCTTCTTCTCCCCTCCTCTCCTTCTTCTCCCCCTCTCCAATTTCCTTCTTCTCTCCCTCTCTCCAATTTCCTTCTTCTCCCCCTCCCTCTCCAATTTCCTTCTTCTCCCCCTCCCTCATTTCCTTCTCCCCCCTCCAATTTCCTTCCTTCTCCCTCCAATTTCCTTCCTCTCCCCGTCCCTCAAATTTCCTTCCTCTCCCCCGTCCTCAAATTTCCTTCCTCTCTCCCTCCCTCAAATTTCATTCCTCTCCCCCCTCCCCTCAAATTTCATTCCTCTCCCTCCCCTCAAATTTCATTCCTCTCCCCCCCCTCAAATTTCATTCATGTCCCCCTACCCCTCAAATTTTCATTCCTTACCCTTAGGGGGGTAATTTCATTCCTCCCCCCCCGACACTCGGCGGCGGGCGGGCTCGCGAGGGAGCACTCTCCTCTGTGTGCTTCCTCTTCAGCTCCCTCGCGCACCGTACTAATGCCAGAGCCGGAAAATGACGTCATCTTCCGGCGCCGGCATCAGTACTCGGCGCGCGAGGGAGCCAAAGAGGAAGCACACAGAGGAGAGTGCTCCCTCGCGCGCCCGGCCGCCCGGGTCAGCAGGGCCAGCCTCTGGGGGGCCCTGAGGTGACTGGCTGCTGGGCCCCCCAGGAGAAGAGGCTGGCCCAGTGGGTACATACCGAGGTCGCAGGGCCCCCTGCGACCTGGTATGTACACCACTGAATGTGGGGCCCGGACGACCTGAGCAGTCCAGGACCGCCGGGCCCATGACGACCGTTGCGGTTGTCATGCCCTGATGGTGGCCCTGGGCACACACATAGTTGCAATCACACACAGTTACAGTCACACACAGGCAGTCAGACAGACACACACACACACAGTTATAGTCACACACAGGCAAACAGTCACACACATAGTTTTAGTCACACACACACACACACACACACACACACACAGTTACAGTAACACACATAGTTGCAGTCACACACACACAGACAGACAGGCACACACACAGTTACAGTCACACATAGGCAGACAGTTACACATATAGGCAATCACACACATAGTTAACTGTGTGGATTGGAGGCAGTGCAATTCCTGGAGTCTGCTAGTTGTTGGGGATGCAGGGAATCCTTCCTGCTTCCACCTTACTGTGAAGCTTTTGCTTCTCGGGGCTTGTAGCTCTGCCCCCGCTGCCATTGAGACCCCGCCTCCGCTGCTCATTATTCCACGCCCCAACAGTCTGTATAGCTCCAGCCCCCCCTGCCATGTTCTTACTTTTGATAGTGGGGGGAGAATACTGAAATACTCCACCTGGGTAGATGAACATGTGTGAGCTGTGTCGGCTACATGGCGCCCCCTGCTGCCATGGTGCCCTGTACGGCCGCACAGCTCTCACACCCCTAAGGCCGGCCCTGACCACATTGACTGAGTTTAGAGCCGACCTGACGGGTTCTTGAATATGTGAGTGTCCTTTGTATTACCTGTACGGATACCACTTTTTATACAGTCTGCGCTATGTCGCTTTTATGTTTTTATTAACAGATTTGCTACTACCGTGAAATACCCTTATCATTTGTGCGCTGTCACCTCACTTTTTACTAATAATTTATGTATGTGTAAGTGTTTTTATGGCATAACACTTGGGTGATATGATTTGATTAACGGCTGATTCTCCATAACATTGTATATTAAAGAATTAATCAATACCAATACGATTCTATCTCACACTCAGTACCTGTTACTATTCCACTCACACTTGTTATGTATGAGGATACCTTTTAGTCACCTATGTCTAGCAATGTATCAACCAGTCATAAAGCTCTGTAGTGTCTGTGTGTTTTTATCTATGTGCAGATGTGCCGTAAGAAGTGTGAAAGTTACATTGTTTCTAGGGCTGGCGGTTTCCGAATCTGCCCTATTTCCTCCCTCTCCTCCACTCCGCAGCGTTTCTATGTTCCGCCTCGCTGCCCTGTCAGCAAATCCTTCTCATCCTGATCTGGCCCCAGGCACAAGAAACCAAGGACTCCAGAGCTGCAGTTTAACTACCCCTCCCCTTAGCCTCCACACTGTTTCCCGAGGCATAGGGATGTAACGTTAATGCAGGATGCCAGCTGCTCAACTGTGTACAGGGTGCCAAGCTGAGTCCGCTGCATCTTTTAGGACGTTGAAAAACTCAGATCCTATTAACTCTTTCAGCAAATGTATACCTGCACAAATATGGATAAAGTGGAAGGAATCATTAGTCACATTATTAACGATTTGGTTAGACTTGTAACGTGTCTAGTGGCATTTTTGGCTCTTTGTTCTTAAAAATACTTTTGTGGTATCACATCAATCTCTGTAATATACATGGAAATATATTCATGGATCACTTCCCTGGGTACGAATATTCTATATTGGGTTACACCAACCCTTTTTAATTAACTATTTTTTTTAATGTCCTTTTGGGCATTACTAAACTGTCCCCTCTTATATTTAAAGGGTTACTCCAACCACCATGATCACTTCAGTGATTGTAAGTGGTCATGGTGATAGAAGTCAGCATGTGCAGTGTTTCTGCAGAGTTACCTGTCTGTTAAGTCATGTGTAATGTGGGTGCAACTAGCTCCCACATCAAAAAAGTGAATGTATATGTAGTGGTTCAAGCAGAAACGCTGCAAATACAAGTTGCTACCACCATGACCGCTTCTAAAAGCAGAATGGTTGCATTAACCCTTTACGTGCACTGTGGTCACACTTCATTGAATTATAATTGTCTACACATTGTGCTAAAACACTTATAGATAATATTTTAATCTTTAGTTCAAAAAAGTCCCAGTTGAACATAATATTAAAAAAAAAAACAAAATGGAAGGTTCCCATTTAAAAAAAATCTGCCCATTAGACTATTATTACTCACTTGGGAGGATTTTTTTTTTTGCCCTGACCATAACTATTGTTGCAGGGGAATATCAAGGTCTGGTTTCCTATGTTCATACCAGTTTTAAACACACCTTAGAGTATATTGTGTAGTAATATACTCCCCATCCTTCGCTGGCACTAGAAGCAATATTGCAAATGTTTTCTTAGAAAAATAGACATATTTAATTTATATGACTCAGATACCTGGTCAGATATATGGGTACCATAAGCCATAAGCTGTATAATCATTGTCTATATACCATATGCTACAGATGCTCAGAGCCAGTTATAACCTACTATTGCTGAAAACACTCTATTTTATTCCTTAAGTTTTACCTGGGCAAGGTCCATATTGTTGTAATATATCCATCTCCAGGAGCTCCTCCTATTGCCCTATATATTATGTCCTAAAATGAATGGACTTAGCTAATGTTCACTGTAAGGGATTGTTTCTGAATAGACCAGGAGGTTAATCTGTGAAAGCTTCTGAATGACTAATGGCACATTTCAAGCCGCCCGCAGTCACCTCATGTGATTTCACGCTCGGCGCTGGGTTTGATTGGTCTCACTGATGCGTGTCTGACCCGTTTGACTTTCTATGTGCCGCTGGAGGCTGATTTCATCTCTTCAGATCACACATTAACTTCTGAGTCCATTTTTATTCAGGGGCCTGAAGATCCAGCAATTTATAGCTGTGTGTTATAAAATTCCAGATGGCAGTTATATTAAATATAAAATATTCAGGCACATAGCTCTGCGAGGAGGGCAAAGAACATGTTTAATCAGCTTATCCAAGTCACTGGCTTTTTGAAAAATGTTCAATCACCTTAACCCTTATGCAGCCAGAAGGTTAAAAAAAAAAAAAAAAGAAATTACATTTTATGTTCCTCTCCCAACTACAAGAATATGGAAAATTTAACAGGATGGGATTGCTTTAAAATGCTTGAACTGTGACGGGTTTGTACACTAGCAGACATGTTGGCAGCAGAAGCAAGTTAACAGCAATTAATAGAGCGTACATTATCTATAGGTTGCATACATTTTTTAATTGCTTTAAGTGTGTGTTTCTTTGAATGGGCAGAATATCAG